CTTCTTTTCCATTCTCCTCTCGGGATCTTGGGCACACACGCACATGCGCCAGGCGTGAGTTTAAGCCACCGGGCCCAGGACTCGAACCACAGTTGACTACATGGGAGTCCAGCAACGTAGCCATTACGGCATCTGTTGGTCCTGCTTCCTACTAAAGTCCATGACTGTCTTACTAAGAAACTTGACATTCCTCAGCATCCATTACAGTAGAGTTGCTTACAGTGTATTAGGAGAGCATGTAAATTATTCGTTTTTTTCTACCAGAGAATCCAGTGCCGAATGGTTTGAGTTTGTGTGTGTGTGTGTGTTTGCCACAAGGTGCATGTACTTGCAGGACAGTGAGAAAGTGAGAAGTCACTCCCGCCCCCCCAAGGGACAGCCATGCTGCAATCCCTTCTCCTCTGTTCTTCTCCCGGGATTTTTGGGCATGCACACACACATGCCTGGTGTGATTTTCGAGCTGCCAGATCCGGGACTCGAACTGTGGTTGGCCATGTGAGAGTCCAGCGCCTTAACCACAAAGCCCACTGCTGGCCGTGAGTCCTGTTTTACTATACTGCAATTTCTGTCCAAGCAGGAGACGCCCCAGCCTAGCTCTCTTCATCTTGTACCAGCCCAGTTTTTCTGTGTGAATTTGGTACATAAATGCCTTCTGGCAGCAAAGAGAATGTTTGCCCAGGGCTAAGGAATAGCAGACCCAAATACAATACCCGGCTCTGTCCCCCGTCTATTCCGGCCCCTTCACTTGTCTGATGTAAGTGAACAGCTCAGTGCTGCGTCTTTCGGTTTTCCTTCTGGTGAAATGAGAATGGTGATCCCTGTCACTCAAACGTCCATGGATTTTAGGTGAAAGTTGAGTGTCTTTATAGTAATGTGCTTTTTAAAGCTTTTCTAATTAAGCAAAGAAACAAGGGAGACTTTAAGATCCCTGGAGTGTAAACAAGAGGCAAAGAGCTGATCAAAGCAGGGAGAAACTTTTTCTTTTTTGGTCATAGGGTGTGTGCATTTGCCAGAGAGAGTGAGAGAGAGAGAGAATGAGAGGAAAAGTGAGAAAACACCTCCCCTGGTGGGGGGGATGGACACGCTGCAATCCCTTCTCCTCCATTCTCCCTCTGGATTTTGAGCACGCATGCACATGCATATGCTTGGCATGATTTTTCAAGCCAACAGGTCTGAGACTTGAACCACTGCCGGCCATGTGGGAGTCTAGTGCCTTAACCGCTATGCCACCTGCTGGTCCCCATTCTGACTATCTTAGTGCAAGAATGGATCACTATAAGCTCTAAATATTTTGCAAGCTGACAGTTCATCCAGGAGAGCTTTCAAGTTGCAAGAAAACATTGTCGGTGCACTCCTTTCCTGAGGTCTACGCCCCCAGAGGATGACTCCGCCACTTCCGGAAGGCCGTCTTCTGAAGGAACCCTTGCTACAAATTCCAGATGTGAGCTTTCCGTCAGCCAGCCCTCATGATCTGAGGTGACTGAGGTGTGGGGCTGTCTAGACACAGTGCGTGGACGAGCTGACTCCGCCCACCCGAGCGTTTACCTTTCAAGATGTTGTGTGCGGTCTGGACGCAGCGGAGGGACGGGGAGCAGTAGACGTGGCCGACGCTGGTGCTGCTCTCGAGTAAGGCTTCGCCTGCACAGAGACCACAGGATCGGGCTGGCAGGCTTACTCGGCCTCAGGCCCACCGGGAATTTGAGGGGTGGGAGACCTGTCCTTCCTGGGGGGGTGCTAACATAGAGCGGAAGTCCCATCATGCAGACGCCCTCATCAGGGCCTCTATGGAAGGGGACCCTTCTCTCTGGTCATAACAAATGGCCAAGTGTCCTCAGGAGAGGCCCAGAGACAGGATAATCCTCTGACTTCCAATGGGGTAACATCCTCACCTCTATCTTGTGCTGGAGGGGAGAGAAACTGAGGCCTTATTTCCATTTTATTTTGTGCTAAATAAAGTCTCAAAATGTGGCATACATTTAGCCTCCAGAGATCTCTCCCAACGCGTGGCACCCTGACCACTTTTCCTCATGGGATCCATTCCCTTCTCCACGGCATAAAGCCCAGACGCCCCAGTCGTGCTGACAGTCTTCTGTGAACGTGTCTGTACTCACCTCGCCCGCCTCATGGCTCTCTGTTCAAGTTTATTTAGTGCATAAGTGAGAGAGACAGCGAGTGAGACGGGGACCAGGACACAGCACCCCGACAGGTCCTGATGAGGTCATTCTCTCCAGCCCCCACCAGCCCAGATCTCAGACGCACATGTGGCTGGTGTGCACGGGGAGGGCTCTGGTCGCAAACCGGGAACCTCGGCTTGTGGTGCCGTCTCACGGAGCACTGCCTGCTCCCACTGCGCCACCACGCGGCCTCCATCAGTCCCGTCTTTTATTCTGCCTGGCAACTTATGCCCCAGAAACAAGACAGGCCTGCCCTGCACTTGCACGGCTGTGTCTTGCGTCTGTGACCTCAGCTATGCCCTCCTGCCCTCTTGCTCCTTCCCCCTCGGCCGCCATCTCTCTTCCCCTCTAACAGGCCTCTGTGTGCCCACTCTGCTCTCTGCACACAGCCCTGTGACTGAGTGTATCATCCTATTGGTGTATCCATGTACAAATATCCCCGAGGGTGGGGCGCACACGTAGGTCCCCAACACCAAGCCCAGCATAAAGTCACCAATCAATAAATATTGATGAAATGACTGAATGGCATGTTTTTCAGGCCATTGGATTGGGGACTCCAACCCACAATCAGTGGGACTCAGCCACCTTAGACATCATCCCACCAACTGGCCCTGGTCACACTGCTTTAATGTGAATTTAGTGGTGTTTTGGAGAGAAGAGCAGAAAAAAGGTGTGTGCTCAAGCTATCATGTTGACTAGGAAGTAGTTATTTGCATTCTGTAAACATGATTAAATTTCATAATGGGGCACTGTGCTCTATAATACTTTCATCTACTATAGACAAAACAGAAAGCACATCTTAAGCTACCATTTAGAATTTGCAATTAATTGCAAATAGGCATAAAAAGATAAAAAAAAAAAAGACAAAAAAGACTGAATGGGACAGTGGACTGCTTTGCCTGGCAGGCTTGGGATGGGCCTGCGAAAATGGAGCGTCTTCGAAGCAGCGGCGGGCCTCTGCGAGGTCGGCAGCTCGGGGCTCCGCCCTCACCTGTGTCCTCTTCTTGCAGCTCTGATGGCACAGATGGCTGTCCTGAACCGGATGTACTGAGCCTGACTTCCCCAGTCCCTGCAGCTGCACTCCTGCACGGGAACCCCACCTGGCTCTCCTTGGGGGATCCATCCAGCGAGGAGCATGGTGCCCTAAACTCATGCCTGGGTAGTAAGTACCTCTGAGCTGGGAGAGCCATTATTTCCGGGGAAGCAGCAGAGACCCCCAGGAAGTGTGCTGGCCAGCCCATGGGGGCCAGGTCTTGGGGGGGGGCTTCGTGGGGCACAGAGACCCCCAGGAAGTGTGCTGGCCAGCCCGTGGGGGCCAGGTCTTGGGGGGGGGGCTTGGTGGGGCACTCACCCACCAGTCTGGCTTGCATACACCCAAACACGGTGATGGGAGCGTCTTTCTCGTACTCCCGGAAGCCACCGCTGCGCTGAGGTAAGCTGTGGGGCATGTTGAGGTTGGTGCGTACGTAGCGGCCTAGAACAGAAGGTGCACAGGGACTCCAGGACCTCCTCCTTGGGACTTCCCTTCTGCCCCACCCTCCCCAACCTCATCTGTTCTTGGCCAGAGAGATCAAACTGATTTCTCCAGAGTCGAGCGAAACTGTGGAGTCTAGCACTTTCTCTCAGTAGATTGACTTGAGACCTGTTCTTCCATTCTGCTGATGACAGTAACAAGGGATAGCTTCTTTATTTCCTTTCTATCATTTTCAGGAAGAGTTTTGCAAGAGAGCACGTGTGCTCACCAGAGAGAAAGTATGGGGGGCAGCCACTCTGCAATCCTTCCTCCGTCATTTCTCCTTCTGGAATTTTGGGCATGCACATACATGCACCTGGCATGTTTTTCAAGCTGCCGGGTCTGAGTCTCGACCCGTGAGATCCAGCAGCCTTAACTACCACACCACCACTGGCTGGTCCAACAAGGGACATTTTCTAAGTGAATGCCAGCCATTAGAGCAGGTGAGAATCCCTGGAGGGCGAAGCCTCCTCCTGAAATGCCACTCAGATGAAAATGGAGGCAAAGGAGTAGAAACTCCAGCCAGGGAGTCTGGACATGTCTCTGTGATGCGTTGATCCCATGTCAGTGGGAGACACATCTTCCTCCTCTGGTCCCTGGCGCTCTGATTTATAGAATGGGGACTGGAACACCTTCCCTCTTCCCTAAAACTCAAGGCAGTTGGGGAGGACTTAGGGATTGCAGGCATTTTCCGCACGTGAATCCACACATGACTCCCTGTGAACCACGGGAGCTTAATGGTGCCCCCTAGAGGCCACGAGAGGTATGCCAAGGCCGAGAGGGCCAGCCCACACTCACCTTTGGCGTCGAAGCACTGGGACAGCCAGTACTTCCCAAACACCACGTCCATCCGCTCCCCATGCCGACAAACAAAGAGGCATCGTTTTTGAGGGCCGGGCTGGCTGTTGACCCGCAGGGGCTGCAGAGACAGAAGGGATGTTAGTGAGGAAACACACGGCCGAGTGGGCACGTCCTAGGGCCAGGAGCCAGGGGCCAGAGGCCCGGAGAGCTGAGTTAGATGCAAGGGCTGGCCCAGCAGGTCTTGGACAGGCCCCTCATGCCTCGAATTTAGGTTGATCCTTCTGTTAGAGGAGAGTGAGGCTCATCTGTAGACCTCCGCAATTGTTTCGAGGGCAAATGAGACGACTGTAGGTGATTTGTGAAACAAGAACGGCGAGGGGGACGGGACGGTGCAGTCGCCACAGCCGTGG